AACCCTTGCATCTGGCATACTGTGTTCTGACTGAATAGAAAATATTAGGATACACTAGACTAGAAGAGATTGGAATAGAATAGAATGTTTCAGTTGAAAAGGACTTACAACAGCTATCTAGTCCAACTGCATGACCAAATCAATGCTGATCAAATTAAAACCTTGATGAGCATTGTCCAAATGCCTCTTAGACACTGTCAGGCTTGGGGCACTGATCACCTCTCTTGGAAATCTTCCATGTTCAACCACCCTCTGGTAAAAAAAAATTCTTCCCAATATCTGCTTTAAACCTCTTCTGACACACCTTTGAACCATTCCCATTCAGCCTATCTCTGGATATAAGGCAGAAGAGATCACCATCTCCATCCCTCTCCACTTCCTGTCTTCAGAAAGCTGTAGAGAGCAATGTAGGGGCACCCCTCAGCCTGCTTTTTGAATTACAGTCTTCAAGCTTCCACTTCACCGTTACTTATCCTTCTAAATCTTCCCATAGAAATGTGCTACTTCAGCTGGCATCATCATGGCCTTGAGTCTTCCATCACCCTGACACAGTGCTCTCCCTCAGTGCAGCTGTGCAGCTAGCTGCTGACATTTAGTGATGGCCTGTAATGCAATGGTCCATGTTTGACCTCTTGGCTATGAGATGGCTTTTCCCTGAATATTTCCTGCTGGTGGTATTATTTGCTGAAAGGCTGTCACAGATACACCATGAGTTTCACTAAACCATTAACAAACAGTAGCAGGGGACATCTGCAAAATGAAGAATATACTGTCTTAATAATTTTGCTCTGTGAAAATTATGAGTGAATACAATGTGAGAATCATCCTCAAAACACCTTTTTGTTAAAGAGAGAACACAACTAAGGGTTTGTGAACTGCAATGTGTCTTATACTTTGTGAGATGCTACCCAGGTCACTCATTGATATATGTGTGCATGTGTAAGTGATAAACAAAATCAGATAAACCGGATGGCTTTGTCTACCTTCACCTTAAGAGTGGATGTAACATCTCTTTGCATATGACACCATTATATTGCTGTTGCTGTCCTAGCATCATATCCCCTCAATGACACTGTGGTATAAAAAGTGCATAAATAAATCATTTATCCTTTTAGAATAAGATGGAGTGAATTATATTTGGAATAGAGAGGCAGAATCTGAAAGCAGGCTATGTCCTCATCAAGTGTAAATTATCCTTAAAATTATCCTGCAGCAACTATTCTTCAGGCTCAAAATATTTTAGAGCTTTCATATTCCTTTGATATTTACCCTCAGCTACTGACAGGGCAAATACCAAAGTGGATACAAGATGAAAATTGTAAATTGCTCATTAAAGAATTTGGAGTACTAGGTCTTTTACTCAGCTTTGAAACTCTGATGTAGATTACTCATTGACATCTTAATAACTATTTTGGGATTATTTCAAGCTCTAAAGAGTGCTGTAGGGTGGGTCTATAGTATTTGACAAGTCGGACACCGGGCATATTCTTTGTTTTTTATAATTGTTCACATGCATAACCGTTGAAGTTGTAGGTGGTTGTTCTGAAAGACAAATAATATTTTAAGCCAAAAACATAAATATGAAGGCAATCAGACTTCACAATAATTATCTGTTCCCTGTTACATTAAAATAAAAAAACCAAAACCCACAACCCTCAACATAATTTGTAAAAGAAAGCTATATATGCTGCATGTTAGAGTGGAACTCAGCATAATGAATGACCAATTTAACTGAAAAAAGAGGCAAATTCAATATGTGAAAGAATCTCCTTTCTATAGAATGCCTGGGGTGGTCTAAGTGTCTAAAAATGTGAGTAATGAAAACAGGCTTAGCCTGGATTTCCTGCAGAGATCTGTACTTCAGTTTCACCTGGCATGATTTGTTGCAGCTAATCTTACCACGTTGCCTAATAAGTGTGCTATGAAAACCTGTTACTCAATTCTGGTACTGACTTTGCTTTTCTAGTGTTTTGTTTAACCACTTTTTTTTTAGGACAAAGTGAAAAGTCTAAGTGCCATAAATTTACTTGTTGAAGGTGATAGTTGGTTCTGGGTTTGAGTAGTATGAGATGATGCCTTTGGTCACCTTAGTGGAAGTCTTTGTGTTATATATTTATTCTCATGATCCATAAATTGTTCTGAAAAATCCTTTCACACTTACCAGCTCAAAGGCAACTTTGTCCTTGTTTGGCTCTGAATTTTTTGGGGAACGTTAGGGAGGGAGAGGGGGGGCATGACAACATTACAAGCCTTGCTGTAATATCTTAGATTTGTAGAGGACTGTAGCCGTATTTCCATCATGTTACCTAGGTGTTAAACAAAAAGGCTATTTCTTTTTGAAGAAGCTTGGTAATGCATGTTTTTTTAGATCTAATTCAACTCTAACATTTTTATTTGTTTAAAAAACAAAAAGCCACCAATCTCTATCAAACAAAGTAATGCCACAGTGTTGCAAAGCTTTCCATGTCAAACATGTCATAATTTTATGTTTTAGAATACAAGCAAACATTTCCCAGTCATTACTCATGCACCGTGTACGATGAGCTCCGGGGTGGGTGTCAGTAGAGCTGATGTGATGGTGACTGCAGCGTTCTCCCTGGCACTGAGGGTGTGTTCCAGGAGAGGGAAGCTCAGTCTGTGGCATTACATGGGCGTGTATTTTTGTAAGACAAAGATGAGATTGCCCATGGATGTGTGAAAATTTTCACACTGCTTCCTAGGTAGCAAGATTTTGGCAAAGCTCTTGGCTTGGAGGTCTTTGAGTTTACTGTGGTAAGGAGGCATTCTGGCTCAGCTCATATGGTTTCTTTAGGGCTTTTTAGTATGGTCTCCATGCATACCCTGTTCTACATGTGCTAACCATCAAGAGGAGAAACAGATCAAAATGTGTGTTTTGCCAGTATTCTGGATAAATGAGAGGTTATTGACAAAAACAGGATGCCTTCCAAGTACGTCCACCACAGCTCACTGTACTTGCAAAGCAGGAAATAGAGTGAAGGTGTGTTCTTGCCCAGAATACATGGGAAACAAGAAAAAATCCCAAACCTTTAAAGTAACACATTTTTCTGGCAACCTACATTTCTTACTAAGCTGGAAAGGTAAAAGGACATATTTTAAAAAAACCAAAAACAACAAAACCCAAAACTATTTCAGTGGTGATAGTAGTTTGAGATTTGTTTTTATTTTCAGGAAGACTTTATGGAAATAACCTTGATTTTATAAGGCTGTGCTGTATTTTATACCCCAGTTAGAAAGAATGATTGCATTTAATATGGAGAGCTGAACAATTAACAGAGTTAATAGTCTTAAAGATAAGATAGGAATGCTTTCTGTATGTGATCCTGAGGTCATCAGATTTAAAAAAAAAAGCAAGAAAACCACATGAACAAAACCATTATTGTGTGGCTTACTCTTCACAATTACTGCAAAATTTACTTTGAGAAATTATTTCTTACTCAAATTTACATTTTCACTTATCTCAAAGAATTGCTTCACAGTTTGACTAATTACACAGTTTTAAGACTTTTGCTTACCTTAGGCTGATATTTCTTGGCTGTCAGTAGTAGATGACTTGGTTTAGACTATTTTATACAACAAGCTGCAGTGTCATTCAGAATCTGTAAAGCAGTGCAGGTGTCCAATGTGAAAAGAAATCTGCTGTGTGGGAGTCTGAATACTAGTGAACAGTATAAAGCTTGAACTGACATAAGACCAAAAGCTGTTCATCATTAGATTCTTTCGTCAACTGCTCTAATTCCAGGACTGCATTCTAATCCACCTAAGGCTGAAAGAAAACATATTAATATTTTACCATAGTGATTTAGCATACATTAATTGTTCATGATGTACTTCATGATGCCAAAAATCCCCCAGAAAGCACATTTTTATGAGTGCAAGATTTGACTGTAAGAAGTTTCCTTAGCAAAACATGAAAAAATAGTATAAAGAATGTCTTTCCTATAGCATACATTTTTCCATATTAAAAAATCAATTGAAATGAGTTTTCATATGACAGAAGTATGAAGGGTCAATTCATTCCCTCTCTTTAGCAGTCACTAAGGGACCTGTTTTGGCAGCATTGAAGAAGTTCTGCTAATAGCAGAGGGAATAGCAGGATTTGATCATGTCATACATGATATCTTCCATCTTCCATTCATTCCCTTATTTTAAATTTACTTATATGCCAGAATGTTTTCGGGACTGGCTTTTTGAAATAAAAATATTCAATGGATATGTTTGTAAGCATATGATTTTGGTATTAAAAAGCCAGATAATATTTATAGAACATATTATCAAAAAGTGTACACTGACAAACAATAGATAATTCTAGTTAACATGTAAACCTTTTTATATTATGTTAACTAGCAAATTAAGGCAATGAATCATTTGTTATGTAACTAATAACTAGTTTAATAGCAAATACTGTACAAATACAACAAATGATTGTAGCAAATACAACAAATTCTGCTACAGAAGAAACTTTGCAAACTGAGCCATCAGGTAATATAAAATTATTTCATCTCATTATTAAATTGCAGTGATTTCCTAAATGATGTGGGCTGTAAACAAAAAGCTTTCCATCAATCTTAATTTAATATACTTCTTTAAGTAAAAGAAAGAAATATTAGCTGTGTTTAAAAATTGTGAAACCTTGTACACTTCCAGTACTGTGAAATGATGCTGAGTGAGTTTTTCCATGGCTGTAGGCAGCAAATATTCTAAATTTTCAGTCATATTCTCAAATATCTTTAAAAATTGCCATTTTTTTGTATTATTTTTCTTCTGTCATGTATAGGAAGTATTTGTAGTCATATCAGTTGCTCTTTTTAAAAAGGGACTTTTGCAGTTTTTTGATATGTCATTAAATATAATAATGGATGAATGGTTTAAAGGAAAGTGAATAGCAGTAGGTTGAAAAGGACAGCCCCTGTGAAGATCCTCCAAAATCTGAGGAGAATTTGTGCAAGCAGTAACACAACTGTAAATATGCTTTGGTTTAGGGATGGGTCTGTGAATTATGCAAGAATCCTGTTGTCATAATTATGTTACTGGGCTCTGCTGGAGTCAGGAGGAGAACTGGCCTGAGACTGCATCTACATGTCCACAAGGAAACAAGATGATTTGTGACTCTCAGGTAACCCTGGGGACATGGATATTAGAAGGATGAATTTTTAAAGAATTTTTTTTCTAGGTCTTTTTATGTAAAATTTCCTCCTTCGTTGGTAAATTGTCATAAATTGCTTTTTAAAATATTTATTTATTTATTTAATCAAGTCATTGGTTCATGGTGCAGCTACTTTTACTGAGTAGGAACTGCAGACACTTTTCCATTCAAATATGCATTTCAATGCTGTATATACAGTTACTAGCTCTTATTAATTAGGCATAAACTGGGTAGTTTTCCTACATATGTAACCTCTATGTAACTGTTTTTCAGCAGTGTAAAGGGTAGTTTTTTGTAAAGAATATATTGAGAATAATAACATTTGAAATTCTGCTATCCAACATTTGAAAGCACCAGATTAGCAAGTGAAATTCTGCCGTTCAGCTATATATTTGGCACAGATTCAAGCAGCTTTACAAGGGGTTTTTAACTGGGTTTGTACACGCCATGTCTACAACTGGTGGGCTGTGGACCTACCCAGAGATAGAGAAGATGACTAATATTTCCTTTCCACCTGTACATCTGAATGGTGCTTGGAAATGCCATGCAGCCGTCATATCTGGTATGAAGAGGGTGTAGAGCAGGAAGCCACTGTCTGAGAGTCTGCAGGGTACAGTGCCTGGAGCCATTGCAGCAGCACAGTGTGTGATGGAGGGGATTTATGAACTGGCCGTGCTGCAGACTTATGTGACTTGAAGCCTTGCTTAAGGATGCCTACAGAGCTAGGTCATTGCTGGTGGGAAAGAGCACTATAAGCTGTAAAATGGGAGATTTTACAGCTGTCTTTTAAAACTTGTAAGTGGGTGATTTGGGTAGAGTTTGAGATAGTCCATAATCATATCATATTTCCTTATTGTTCTGAAGTGAGACAGCAAAATGGCATATAAACTTACATTCTCTACATAGAACAACCAGAGTAGTTTGTTTAGAACTGTTTGTACCATACATTGACAACAAAATGTACAGCAAAGCATGAGGGATGGGAAGCTTCCTGCACGTCCTTGGGTTCATGCAAGAACTGGAACCAATACAACTCCTGATAAGATTATTTCAAAAAGCATTCCAAGATTATCAGAAGGGTTGCACTGTATCATAAAAGAAAAAAAATACCCAGGTATTTCAGCATGGAGAAGCAGTTTTCCAGCTCCTCCCATTGCTTCACGTAAGTGACACAGTTATAGTTAACTTTGGATTATCAATCACTGTGAAACAGAATGGGAAGGTTGTACATTTGAACAGCTTTTCCACTGCTTTTGCATTCAATGATGCGGCTCTCAGAACCCATTCTGGACATGGAAATGGCAAACTACAGTGAAGTTTTAGATCCAACATATACAGCACTGGAGTTCGAAACTATGCAGATTCTGTATAATGGCAATGGTGAGTTCTGCCCTGTGAGGCAAATTCAAGCCAGTTAACAGAAGTGAAGTTTAGTAATGCTATAAGGTATTACTTAAATGTTTTATTAATGGAGCATTTGGGGGTTGTTTTCAAACTACAAATCTGCTCTCTTACACTTCATCACTGACTCTGAGTTAGTAACATTGTAATTCTTTAAGGAAAATAAAAGAGAGGTTATATATAATAAAGTAGCTATACTGTCACCAGTCTGTTAATCAAAGGGAAAAAAAAGGTCTATTCAGCAGTTGTTTTATTTACTGTAAGACGAATGAATAACTAGTATTGACAGTTTGGACATGGAAGTATATTTTGTATATAACTTTCAAAAGGAAAGGACAAAGTTATGCAGAGGTTTGTGGAAGAAATTAGCTACTGTTTCTTGATGCCTAGTTTCTAATTGTTGGACCAATATTTTTTTTTATTTAAGTGTTAATCTAGCCTTTCTAGCTACGTGTGTATATGCGCAAGAGTGATTTAAAAAGAATCACATCGACTTTCTAGAGGATAATGTTTAGTTGAGAAAAAGATTTTGCGTTTGGCTAATGTAACACTTTTGGCAGATTTTTTTATATGCAAGTTTTAAGAAATGTTGTCAATAATTTATACTTGAAATACAAAGCATACCATTTCATTATGCCATCGAGAACTGACAAAAAAAAGAAATGTGAATAAAAGTATCAGGCAAGTTAAACTACTCAAAAATGGCCTTTCAAATCTTTTAATACACTAAAAATGTTGGTTTATTGTGTCTTAAAATACAATTCATAGATCTGTAGCAGTATGTATTTTTAAAAGGCAGAACCAATATGTAGTGATTTGCAGGAAAAATATTTAGCACCTGCATTTCCACATATTCCTGCCATATAGAACCTAATTAAGTTTTTATTGTTGGGCTTTAAGTTTTATCTGGATTTCTGATGTTAAATTACAGCAAGCTTAGTAAACAGAAGGGTAGATTTGGTTATCGATTTAGGAAGAAAAAGCAGAACTTTATGTGCTAACTAAATTTGTAGCTGTCAACAATGTATATAACTTTAGATGATTTCTCTGCTTTTTGTTCTAATATGGGTATTTCATTAGTCTTTTTTTTTTTTGCTGAATAGCACCCTTTTGGATCTGTTAATGTTAAATAAAATGAGAAGGCAGATTAGGGAGGTTGTGCTTGGTTGCATTATGTGTTGGCAATAGAGCTGGTTAAATTATCACTGTAAGTGATTAGCTTGATAATTATTAATTATTAGCTGCAGCCTTTTTATGTTTAGAGTATATTTTGTGTTTAGCCTAAGTATTTTCTTACAACATTTATAAAAACATTGTCTTGTTACAGTGCCAGTTCGGAACTGAAAGCTGCCTGTGAACCTTCCTGTGTATCTTTTCTAGTTGTTTAAATTAATTAGGAACATTTAGAGAAGTCTAACAAGGCACATTGAGACAGATTACACAATTCTGTTGAAATCAAAGAATTTTTCAATATCAGGTCAATTTTCTAGACATTTTGTTTCAGAATAATAACAAAGAAAATAAGTATGCCCATATGCATATATATACATATATATGTGTGTGTGTGTGTGTGTGCACAACTTACATTGCTGTGAAATATTTCATCATAACATTTACATATTGTATTTTTAATTATTCTGCTATATGATGCAAAGTAACAAAAGTCCAAAGGAAATGTCTTATATTTTTCTAAAACAATTCTGTAACCTAATTTAAAAACAGTTTACAATTTTCCATGACAATCCTGATTTTAAAATAAGTTCTTTACAGAACTGAATTTTTACTTCTTAGATTTCTTTCTTATAATAAATTTTAATGTAACAGCTCTGTTAAATGGACAAAAAAAATCAAGAAGGGTTGCTTCTCTCTGTATCTAAAGAACTTTTGTAACTTTTAAGTTCTGTGGGACACAATGAAAATTCTATAATGTATTTGTGTTATACATTTCAGTTGGATCTATACAATATGAGTAATATTATATATCAATATTAACAGTTTTGCTGTTCATCCTGTATACTGTTCATGAACTCATGTACTTGACTTCTGAATTCATGTCTGCATAGCTAATTAATGTGACACTCTTTCCTCTCCTGGACAAAATAGCTACAAATGCTTAGGGTATGTTTTCTGTCTATTTAAACCAGAAGCAAAAAAGAAAAAGCTATTTTGCAGTTGTTTCTTTGAACACGTCTGTTAACACTTTGTCTCAAAGAATAAGTATATCTGGTTTGATTTCATGTGAACTTATTCAGTAGTGTTTACCATATTCAGTGACTAATTGTTAATCACTTAGATAATATTCTGTGTAAGGACAGACTGCACCAGTGCTCCTGTAAAGAATATCTTCAAGGAAATAACAGATAGTGCTCTTAGCACATGTTTTTGTGGTTTATTTTTTTTAATTAAATTGTACAAAACCCTTCTTTTTTGTTTCTTTTTTCAATGTCCTAAATCTTTGTATGAGAGTTGCCAGCTATTGCCATCTTGTATGAGAACTTATACATGAGATCTTTACCAGTTAAGACCGTTTTGTGACAAAGTTACTCTTCATGTTATTAGGAGTGAATGTGTAATTATAAATGCAGAAGTGCACTTTAATTTTTAACTCTTCAGCTGCAAAGAGTTTAGAACACGATTATTTGTTGTTATGAACTCCATAAATTCTTTTAACATCTCTCTCATTTTGAAAGTGTTCATGTCAGTAAGAATCAGACGTCATCAGATGGGCCATGCTATGTAAATCATAAGTGGCAATTAAACGAGAAAAGGCCAGAAAAAGCCTCTCTTCAAGTACAACTTGCTCATGGGGTGTTTTTTGGGAGTCTTATCCATAACTATGTATGTTCTTGTCTCGTCAGACAGTTCAGGAGAAGCTGTCAACATGAATGCTGCTGACAACGGGGTCAGTAGTCTCTGTGCAATATGTGGAGACCGAGCAACCGGAAAACATTATGGTGCTTCCAGCTGCGATGGATGCAAGGGATTTTTTAGACGTAGCATAAGGAAAAACCACGTCTATTCATGCAGGTATTCCAAAAATTTGCCTAGAGGCAGTAAATTAATGAATTTAAGCAAAATTATATTCAGACCTTATCAAAATTTTTGAACTATGTCAGGGGATTTTCAGCTTTTTCTTAAGGAATGCTACTTGATATTACACATTTCAGAAACTATGTTCCAGATGCTTGATGATATGGTTGATATCATTATGTCACTCAGAAGCTGTTTCACTCTTTTATTTATGATTACAGAGGTCATCTTCTGAAAAAAAAAAAAAAACAAAAAGAAAAATGCTCATATTTTCTCTGCAATGTAAAAACTGTAATTCTTAATTGTTTTCTAAAATTCTTTCCTTATGAAGGTAGTTTCTGAATAGAAAGTCTTAAGATTTATGAGTCTTGTTTTAAGAGCTGTACAAACACATCTGCACATATTCCCACTTGGTGTGACACACAGGTCTCTTGAGCAGGCATTTCCCCCTGTCTGAATGGCAATCTGTTAATTTCCGAATGGTGCCCAAAATATCACACTGCACCATATTTGATGAAATTATCTGTGTACGCTCAGGGCCATAAACTGTCCATTTTGAATCATGAGCAGAATATAGTGAAAACTCAATGAGCTTGTACAAATCACTCAAGGGGTATATTGGGTTTTCATGCCAAGATTTTGGTAGCAATGGGGCTACAAAAGTGAATTCTTGTGAGAACCTATCAGAAATGTCCCTGGTGTCTGGTGAAGCCAATGCCAGCCAGCTCCAAGATGGCCAAAGCTGAGCCTATCAGCAATGGTGGTAGTGCCTCTGGGGATAATGTATTTAAGAAGAAAAATTATTATTGTGCAGAAAAAAATTGTAGCCAGAGAAGAGAGGCATGAGAACATGAGAGAGGAAGAGCTCTGCAGACACCAAGTTCAATGGAAAAGGAGGTGGGGGAGTGCTCTAAGTGCTGGAGGAAAGATTCTCCTGCAGCCCATGTTACAGACCGTGATGAGACAGATGTCCCTGTGAAAACCATGGAAATCAACAAGGGAGCAGATATCTACCTGCAGCCCATGGAAGACCCCCTGCTGAAGAAGACAAATGCCTGAAAGAAGGATGTGACCCTGTGGGAAGACTGTGCAGCAGCAGGCTCCTGGCTGGACCTGTGGTCCCATGGAAGGAGGAGTCCACACTGAAGAAGGTTTTCTGGCAGGACTGTTGACCCTGCAAGGGACCCATTGCTGGAGCAGCACAATCCTAAAGGACTGCATGCTGTGGAAAGTACCCATACTGGAGCAATTAATGAAGAACAAAGCCCATGGGAAGGACTAAAATGGGAGAAGTTTGTGGAAAACTGTCTCTGTTCAGAGGAACCTAACAATGGAACGGGTGAAGACTGAGAGGAGTCCTCCTCTTCCTGAGGAGGAAGCAGCAGCAGAGACCACGTGTGGTGAACTGACTGTAGCCCCCATGCTCTCTCCCCCTGTGCCATTGCATGGGAAATGATAAAACTTTTATACAAATGCTTGTTACTGGAAATGTTGTTTCCTACACTCGTCTTTGGTTGTGTAATATTCTTATAAGAAAACCTCTCCCTTATAGACGTGGCACAATGATATAGATAGACATTCCCCTAAAATGGTGTGTCAAGAGCTGGCATACGTGACTTCAGGAAGAGCTCTGCTTTTGCAGTGTCTGTTTATCTAAAAAACACACGCAAAGAAAAAAGGCAGACCTAGACAGAGAGAGGGGCAAATGGCTCATATGCATTCCCTTTAGACACACCTGTAGATGTGCATAATAGCCTGGGTGAGCTGCCATGCAGTGTCATGCTCCATGTATTTCCTCAAGTCTTTATTTCATTGTGCTGGTTCCTCTCATTTCCTGTTTAGGTTGCCACCTGTAGGGATAAAACATGCAGCTTGTTCATTGTTATCTCCCAGAAGGAGTAAACACTGCCAGACAAGGGTAATGGTTTTTCAGCTAAGGGGCTTCTCCATGCCAGCAACATTTGGCTTTTTCCTTGATTGTCCTTTCCTTTTTCTTTTTGCAGTTTTCTTTCTTTTTTTTTTTTTTTTCTTCCACTGTCATTTGATGAAGCCAGTTACTGACGTACCTCACAAATCAGTTGAGGTGTAAATGATGTACATAACTACAAAATTTTCCACACTTGCCTATCCCAATGCATATATGTGTTTATGCACACACATATATTCCTGGAAAATTAGCAGGTATAAAACACCTCTCAAAACTGGTTAATAAAGAATAAGCAGTGCAACTGAAGATGAGGGTCTGTGGTTATAGACATTATTCTGGCAGGAAAGATTAGTTGGTTTTCTTCTTTGTAATCAGGGTGCTACTTTATTAATATACATTTACCTTTTCTTGTCTCTGATAGATTCAACCGACAATGTATTGTTGACAAGGACAAAAGGAATCAATGCAGATATTGTCGTTTAAAAAAGTGTTTTCGAGCAGGAATGAAAAAGGAAGGTAATGCAGTCATTTATTATTTGATATACAAAGAGAAAAAATCTGAATATGCTTTGAAATATAATGAAAATTCTAAAAAACTCCAGCAGAATAAACCAATGGAAAGTCTGCTACAATACGTTTGTAATGGGCGAGTGCTTTTGTACTGAGGTGAAATATACATCTTCTAACTCTCAAGTGGGTAAGCAGCTCTAGCACTTGTAACATCAGCAAATTCATGGATTTATAGTGAATTTGCAACTGTTTAATTCATGAATTCTGGCACCAAATTCATTTATTTCTACATATTGAGCTATTTGCTGTAATATTTCAAACCATGAGATTTTACTTAAAATGTTTACCAAATCTGAGAAATGAAATCTCTGTCTGGCTTTTTTTTCCCCCTGCCCTAAGTAATAACAGGGCCAATTTACTGGTTCTTTCCTTAAATTTTAACATATGAAGCATTCAAGCCAGACAAAGGACTGTGAAGTTGAGTGAAAAAGTAGTGAGTAGAGTAGTGGTAGCTGTCAGTGGAATGTCCATGTTAATTAACAAAAAATCTAATTTCCCTAGGGCTTAATATAGGAAAATTGCTACATATGCATCTCACTGACAGATATGAGAAACATGTGTCACAGTGATTCTGTCAAAGTGGAAGGACCAGATCACCACAGGAACAGAACAGTAGAGAATGAAGAACAGTGCTATTATTAGAGATTTTGGGGTTTTTTGTTGTTTGGGTTGTTGTTTCAAGGACAATTATGATGTAGAGGCAAAAGATGTCCATGTCCATTTCAAATACACACTCAAAAGTGGTTTGTCACAAACTTTGCTGTCTTTTTTGTCTGAAGCATGGTGCATCTGCTTGCAGGCCAGTCTGAAATGTGAATGCTTAGTTCTCTTGTAACGTGGTTATCATTCTTTTCATCTGTACAAAGGTAACTTTTTCTTTATGCTCTTAAGTATCTGTCCTGTAGCAGTACTTTGCTAGTGATCATGGTATTGGTATGAGACAAAATTGATTTTTCTCCTTGAAGCTGGATAGAGATATTCTAAACAGCGTTACACAGGATATGAAGTAGGTTTGCCTGCTATTGTGGATCTCCTTTAAGACACTTTGGCCTTTTGGAATATGAGCCATTAAGTCAGTAACATGTTATATATATGTTATCAAATTGATGTGAAGAAAAGGGAAGATCTGTGTATAGATAGCAGCCCTAGAAGTTTTGCAAATAGCAGAGCTTACAGACTTTCAAAACCTGGAATAAAGAGTAGTTTGTCTCAGAAGGGACATCTGGAGTTCATCTAGTTCAGCTCCCACATAAACCAAGGCTGACATCTAGGTTCAGTCAGGTTGCTTGGGATCCGTACAGACAGATTTACACAGTCCTTGAGAGGGAAGATTCAACAATCTCTTGCTCTGCAAGCTCTTCCAGTACTTGACCACCCTCATTGGGCCCAACAACTCGTTAGAATATCTCTTACAGCAGTTAGGATGGTATCCATTGGGTTTTGTCTTTCATTATGCATCTGAGAAGAATCTGGCTCCATTTTCTGTATGCTACAGAAATGATGACCCTCACATCCATATTGGTCCTCTTTTTTCCACATAAGCAAAGATGCCTGTCTCTACTTCACCTTGTGCATCTTGTGGATTACATCTCCATAGCCCCCTGCTGGCACTACCTAGATTTCCAGCATCTTTCATGTGCTGAGGAGCCCAAAACAGAGAAAAGCTCATTTCCCTCAAGATGCTAATACAGACTGGTGCACGGCACAAAACTTTTAGCCCACTTAATGCTACTCTGCCCTACTCTGATCCCACTGCTTTTGTCTTGTTATAACCTCTCTACATGATCAGGGCATGTCTCATAGTAAGAGTGTAGCATAGAGTCTATGATAGTTTCTCAAGTTTCTAGCAGATCTCTTTATTTTCTTCAGGACAAAGAAAGGCTTCAGTTATTAAAAGCTTTACAAGTCCTCTTTGAGCAAATGTACCATTCTCCTCATAGAGTCTCTGTTAAGGCAATTTTAGCCTGAATTGACAAAAAAGCTTTAGGCACATAGTCTAGTCTAATAATCTAAAATTATGTGTATGTAGAAGAAAATTAAAGCATCCACCTGTGGTTTTAAGTGTGCTCCACCACTGATTTTCACTAGTGGTGTATTGCCAGAATACCTTACTATTTTTGCAAAACTCATCAGTGCTGAACTTATTTTAATTATCTATGTTTGTTTCAGCATTCTTTTGCAAAAGGTTATGTTTTCTCTTTCCCGTCTACAACATACTGTGTTTTTATCACCACACAAGATTTCTTCCTGTGACCTTAATAAAAGCCAATGATTGTCCCTGCAAAAAAGTTAATACACTTCTGGAATAAACGATGTGCATTGTTCAAATAAACCCTGAACCTACTCAGTACACAGAGCTTTTGGGTTTTTTTCCAATTGAAACCTATTGTACTACTTCTAAATTCTGTAATGCAGATTGTTTCCCACAAAATAGCAAATCTATATTTGGAAATAAAGCTGCTGCTCTTAAAAGACAATAAAATTCCTCATGCAATACAAAGATTTCCATCAGCACAATTCTTTTTTTTCCCCTCTTTTATTTTCCTTGGCCTAATCTTGGACATGATCTAGGTTTTAGAAGGATCTGACTGTTAGTTTTCATTCTTTTCTTCTTCCATTAGTTCAAAAGTATACCTTCTTGCTTCATAAGCCTTGAGTGTGCTGATTACAGATTCCTTATCCAAAGCTATTTTAAATGCCTGTTTTTGGATCCCATGAGACAAAACTTAGTGAATTTACTGTCCTAAAACTTCTTTGGTGCACTGTTTTTTAGATTGGGGTGTTTTGTTTTTTTTCCCCTTTAACTTAGTTAATGTGCCATAAATAGGCTAGGAATGCAGTGTCACTGAGGAGGAGCAGGAGATTTAAGTTTCAAAATGATCTTACTATTGGATTAATCATGATTCATTCCTGTTTCATTGTTTCCCACAGCAGAGCATGAGTAGAGGTTTCATACTTCCTCTGAGAGATATTTTTTCAGTGGTGATGTTGTGCCACTTGACCCGTTTGGCAGTCTGGAAATGTCCATTTCTGCTGTTATCATAAAGCCTGACTTATTAAATTGGTTGAAATTGAGACCATGTGTTCAAGTTCAAAGGAAGAAAGAGGCTGGACTGTAATTAAGCCAGTGACAGAAGTGCTGATGATTCAGATCTATCTGCAATTAGTTATACATAGTTTTTATAGGCATGTAATTGACTGATAGAGACTATAAACATCTATTATCATCCTTCCTCATCACTCAGAGCTAAAAGCAGATCATCTTCTTTGAATGTCATACCTTTCAGTTCTTAGAGTTACCTTCTGAAATCTAGTAAAGTTCTGAAATTATTCTTTGTGTCAGTGTTTACAAGTCAATAAATGATATAATTATTCTTTTTCAGCTGTACAAAATGAACGGGACAGGATAAGTACGAGAAGAAACACTTTTGATGGCTGCAACAGTCCCTCTATTAGCACATTGTCACAAGCTGAGACACTCTCCCGCCAGGTACTGGGATCTATCACAAAATTATTTAGTGATGCTAAGACCACTTTTACTAAAATTAAATACTTTTCAATTTCTTATTGTATCGAAAATAATTATTGAGATTAGTTTTTTCTATTTCCAAAATGCATGCAGCTTCCTCTTCTCAATGAAAGAAGCAGTAATAGAATACTTTCTTGAAGCATAGTCAATAAAAAAATTCTACTTTGTCCAGGACAATATGTCTTAGGCACCTTTCTTAATAAAGGTTTATGGTTCTTACTGCTTTTAAATCAGTTGCTGTCATAGGCAGCTGGTGGCATCTATCTATCCTTGAAGCAGGCTTTCCCATGAAAGATAGGGAAAAATTTGTCCAAAGCCATTACATTCAAAGGGGTGTGGACACTCGTTTCCTTACATTCTTTTGAAAATCCCATTTTTAATATCCTTAGACATTATAAGTAAGGCAAACAGAAGTGTTCCAACTGCAGAGTCAATTCACATCTCACTTTTAAATTTTCTTTGTCTCATCTGAACTTCATTTTCTCATTTTCTTTTTTTTTTTCCCTATCCAATCAATTGCTGAATGGAACAGTCTCCAGTCCTTTTCTGCACCTCAGATAAATCATGGTCATTGATTCTGCATTCTTGCACCTCTTACTAACTTGCTTAGAATTTAACTGCCACCTTTATGATTCCATGCTGACTGATTTATACATCCCCAAATGTTTTGTAATCTCATCCTTTATCAGCATCTCTCTTAGGCTGGAACTGTCTGTAAAGAATTGATGCAGGAATTACTGGGTGATAGTCTTTGGCACATATTGCATGTCCAGGCAGACTAGAACATAATGTACCTTCCTACCTTTCATACCTATACAGTATGAAAAATATAGCTATATTTATCTCCTTAGTAATTTTTTGAACTTGCTTATTGTGCTTTTTTATAATACTCCCTAATCATTTCCAACTGGTATATGCAATTCGGGAATAAGAACTGCCTTGAACAGAATTACATCCTCAGCTGTTTATAGCACAAAGTTCTTTTCAAACAGTAGGTTCTTGGCCTAAAACTCCTTGTGTATACAAGTTTAAGTATTTAAGTACAAATTTATTGTACTTATTATTTAGTATGTTTTAGTAGAACAGAATTGCTTCCACTCTGTCAAACATACAGGAAGATACAATCTTGGCCTCAAAGTCCAAGAGACTCCCTTAACATGATGGAAGAGCAAAGAGGTCTTAAAAGTACTTGTTCTTCCCTCAATTGAATAGGTCGGTAAGATGAGTTCAGTCTTGAGAAGAGACTTAGAGGAGGTAGTAGTGTCCCAAATCATTATCCAAGTACTTCAGCTGTGAAATGAAGAAGAGGGTGGGATTCAACTCTTTTGAAATGTTCATATCAAATAAGGAAAATTAGATATTTTCATCTCTTTTGAAGTGCTCATATTAAATAGGGAAAATTAGTTATTTTGTTCCTTAAGATCCCTTACAGAGGGGAATTGTCTAAGTACATTTTTTCTTGTACGGACCTGGGAGAGGCTTCCAGGGTTATGTAAATACGAAAAGGGCATGCTGGACTCTCATATGAGTAAAGGCATCTGTCCCTGAAGGGTTTCAGAACAACTGGGATATGGTGTTACATTGCCACGTTCATCAACTCATTAATGGTACATGTTACACTGGGAAAGATTTCACCTCAATATAAGAAAGAAATTTTTTACAGTGAGAACAAACAATTACTGGAGCAACCTTTCCAGGGATGTGGTGGAGTCTTCATCACTGAAAATTTTCAAGATGCAATTGGACAGGGTGTTAGATAATCTCTAGGATTCCTTTCCTATATAAGGTTGGATCAGGTGATCTTTCAAGGTCTCTCCTAACCCGTGCTAGTCAATGATTATATCAAATCAGTGAGTCCTGTGTTGTACCCCATAAATGAGAGCCAGGTTAAAGCAATATAGAAATAGAAATTGAAAGCTTCATATCCTTGTCAAGACATGCAATCTTAGGTGTTCATAACGAACTCTATGGGAGTCATCCCACAAATCCCCAGCAGAAGTTCACCAAGTAATTTCAGCATGGAGACTGTAGTTTGTAATGTAAAATGTAATTTATAAAAATAAACAGCTCTGATTAAAATACATTATGGGAAGGACAGTGTATTAACTTCATGAGTCAGTATGTCTAACAGTTAAACAATCTACCTCTTCTTTACCTTCTTGTATTATCTTGTAGTTAGTGCATGGTTAGTATCATTTTCAGGTAGAACAGAGTGTGACCTGCTATCAGAAATCTCTTCTTTGTTCCTTTGAATCATGATCAAGACCCCTTTTACTCTTCTGGAAAAAAATGAAATGTATTGAATTTCTTTACTGTCTTTCTGTACTGAAGGTTTTCTAGACTGACTCACTCTGGTAGCTCTCACCTGAATGAATATCAGTATTTTCAACCTCCTTTTTGTAAAGGAGATGCCAGAAATGGATTCATGATTATAACACCTATTTCACACATTCTCTGTCTACAAAGTGGCAATACCTCTAACCTTTTTTCTACAGGATAGCCTTTGAATTATGTGTCTGAGGAATTTTTCACCAGCCTACAGCCTAGCTGCTGTATTTTCCTGAGAACTAATGCTCAGCTGGCTAACTGACATAAATATCTAAGCTGTTTTCAGTGTTTTACACTACTGAATTATGTAGGAAGCACAGAGCTTTACTTCAGAAGTACAACTCATTTTGACTACCCAAGGATAAAGGACTTCACCACAAATCCCACTGTAGGGTTTAAAATGGCACGAATGAAGGGGAACTGGTAGGAGCCAACCTAAATTCATTCCCCCATCCTGAAAAGTGTAGGAAAGTGGTATTGGAAGACCAAACAATGAACTTCTTTCCTGAGGAAGATAATCATGCTGCATAATTTCTTGAGTATGCTTTTGGTAATAAAACATAAAGGGAAAGTCACTTTCATAGGCCTTGTACAGTGATTTTCTCTTTTTCTTTTTCTTTTTCTTTTTCTTTTTCTTTTTCTTTTTCTTTTTCTTTTTCTTTTTCTTTTTCTTTTTCTTTTTCTTTTTCTTTTT